GAGAGGGAGAGGGAGGGAGGGAGGTAGCAGTACTGGGAAAAACAAGTTAAGACTTGAGACAGGGTCTTACTAGGTTGCTAGGGCCTTGATGAGTTGCTAAGGTTGGCCTTGGACTTGGGATCTCCCTGCCTTAGTCTTCTGCTGGGATTAAAGACATGTACCTTACCCAGTGTTTATTTTTGTTTTTCTTGATACTGGGGTACAGGAGATTGAACCCAGGTGTGTTTAACATCTGAGCTGTATCCTCAGCACTCCTCCCCCCCCTTTATTTTGAGATTGGGTCTTGTTAAGTTGGCTTTAAAGTTGTGATCCTCCTGCCTTGGCCTCCCTAGTTGCTGAGATCACAGGCGTATACCACCACACCCTGGCTTAATTTTAGTTTAAAAGGGGAAAAGATAAATAAAATTCTATAGCAGTGGTTTCCTCTAGAGAGGAAGGAACTTACTTTTCACTGGATACATTTTGTACTATTTAAATTTTTATCATTGACTCTTAAAAAAAATTAACCTCATTGAGATAGAATTCGTATATAATAAATTATATACACTTAAAGTACAGTTTGAAGGGAGCTGGGTTGTGGCTCAGTGGCAGAGAGTTTGCCTGGCATGTGTGAGGCACTGAGTTGATTCTCAGCACCACATATAAATAAAGGTCTATCAACATCTTAAAAAAAAAAACAAAAAACAGTTTGAAGACATATGGTAGATGTATATACCACATGGCTACCACTTCAATGAGGATACAGAATATTTCTGTTGCACCCAAAAGTTCTTGGGCCCTTTTGCAGAGAACACCCTTTCCCTTCATCCCTGGGCCATCATTTTGACACTGTATTTAGTTATCGGGAGATAAGCCCTTTACCAGATCCCTTTGGTTTCCTTCCCAGTGTTGATCCAAATGATCAGAAAAAGACAGCTTGTTATGACATTGATGTGGAAGTGGATGATACCTTGAAGACTCAGATGAATTCTTTCCTGCTGTCCACTGCTAGTCAACAGGAGATTGCTACTCTAGACAACAAGGTAGGGTTTCTGCCCTAGTTAATTTGGGTGTTACCACTTCCCTATCACAGCTTCTAGACTGCTTTTTTTTCTTTTTCTTTTTTGACTGCCTTTTATTTCTTGTTTTTAAATCAAAATAAATGGATACCCAGTATTTGTCAGGTACTGTGCTTGGTGCTGCCTAGAGCCAGACTCACATGAGTTCTGCCTCAGGCTATACTTTTAAAGTGTTGAGCCTCAGTTTCTGATCTGTGAAATAGAGACCATAATACCCATTTTTATAAAGGTACTCTGAGAATGAAATGAGACAGTGTTTAACATTGGCCAGGCATAGTGGTGTACAACTGTAAACCCAGCAACTCAGAGGCTCAGGTGGAAGAATTGCAAGTTCAAAGCCAGCCTCTGCAACTTAGCAAGACCCTGTCTCAAAATAAAAAGGTCTGGTAGCATCAGTCATTAGTACCACCAAAAAAAAAAAAAATTACAAACTGGGTTAGGAGTATACCTCAGTGGTATAGAGCACTTGCCTACCATGTGTGAGGGCTGAGTTCAATCCCAGAACCACACACAAACACACAAAAAGAAGTGGTACACACTGGTAAATACTATTGTCCACCTATGACAGAAACTTAGAATAGAATCATCATTGTTCCTCCTTCTCTGGTGTGTTAGATACATCACAGGTGCCAGAGGATGGGATATTTGGGAAAAGGAAGCTAGATGGGGAAGTTGGAGCCTTATCACAAGGTTTTTTTTTTTGTTTGTTTGTTTGTTTTTTAAATACTTTATTTTATTTATTTATTTTTTGAGGTGCTGCGGATCAAACCCAGCACCTTGGACATGCTAGGCGAGCCCTCTACCACTGAGCCCCATTCCTAGGCCCTTTGTCACAAGGTTTTTAGGCAGATAACACTAGTTTATATTCCATCCTGTAGGTAAAGTAAGGGATTAGCCTGGTAAGAAGTTTTTACTGGTGGATGCACTGTTGCTATTTGCATTTAGAATGATCACTGGCTGGAAGGTGGAGATTAGAAGGGGGAAGATGTGGAAGCAAGAAGCCCAGCTAGACAGCTGTTATAGTAATCCATGGAAGATAATGTCAAAGCCCTAAACTGAAGTTACAGACAGTGAAGATGGAAATAAGTAAATTGATTTTGAGAGGTGTCACAAGAATTAAGGGATTTGACCACTGTTTGGATGGAGGTGAGAGAGAAGGAGGAACAATGATGATTCTATTCTAAGTTTCTGGCATAGGTGGACAATAGTATTTACTACGATTGGCAAGAAGAGGAATAGGCATTAGGGAAAGGGTACTGGATTTAGTTTTGGGAATGTTGAGTTTGAAGTATCTTGAGATGTCAAGAAAACATTTGAATTGTTTGTAGTTTAGAAAACGGACCCTGCACTGCAAAGCAGGAACTCATGACCCTGTCAGTGATGTGGATGAAGTATTCACCATGTAGTGCTGGGCAACTGAGGAGACTAAAAGGAAAACTTCCCCTTACTTAGAATACACAGAGACAAACAAGTGCAAAGAATGCTGAGGGCCAAAATCAGTGGGAGCTTCATACAGCATCCTAGCTCTGGGCAGCAGAACCCTGTGCCTAGATTGAAAGTGACATACAGAGACTTCATGCACTGTCTGCCATCTAACTTTGTGTTTCTGTAGTGTGAAAATTGCATGTGCGTCCTTCATTTCAGATCCACGAAACAATAGAAACTATCAACCAGCTGAAGACCCAGCGGGAGTTCATGCTGAGCTTTGCCAGAGACCCTCAGGGTTTCATCAATGATTGGCTTCAGTCCCAGTGCCGGGACCTCAAGGTAAAGAACTTAGTAAAGGATCAGGGAGAATTGAGGAGCCGATTTTTCTTCAGTATATCCCATTTTCATTTGAGTAGGGACACTGAGTGTCAATTTAGTATTTATTCAGTGCTGTCATTGTGCTTCATATTGTCAGGGATGCAAAATGGAAGACCTGATTTCTGCAACGTACATTTTATTTGGAAAAACAAAGCTAATATGATTAAAAATAGTATGCCATATAGTACATTATCAGAACTCACCAGTAAAATAATTCAAAATAAGGCTAGAGTCACTGGGTAAGGCTTCATGGAAAATTTGGGACTTGAAGATATTTCTCAGAGAGGAGAACACTAAGGCAAGAAGATAGGCACGGACATAGAGTGTGTGAAATCCACCTAAGTTTTCACCCAGCCTGCCACTGCTGTGACTAGAGTTAGGAAGGAATGCACAGAGGAGCAGGGGGAAAGAGCACCAGGCAGGTTTTTAGACAAGGCAATGACTTGTGGATAACAGGAGGCTACTAGGTGTTACATTAGTTCACTGGGACTACAACAGCAAACTAACACAAACTGGGTGCTCAAACAACAGAAAACTCACAGTTGTGGAGGCTGAAAGTCTGAGATCAAGATCAAGAAGGTTGGTTCCTTCTGAAGGCCGTAAGGAGAATGTGTTTCAGGCCTCCTAGTTTCTGGTGGCCTCAGGCATCCCTGGGGTTATAGCTGGTTTTCTCTGTGTCTTCACATCATCTTCCTTCTGTACCTGTTTTGTCTCCATGTCCAAATTTCCCCTTTGTAAGGATACCAGTCATATTGGATTAGGGCCAACCTAATGACCTCATCTTAACTTGATCATCTGCAGAGACCCTATTTCCAAATGAGGTCACATTCACAGGCACTGGGGGATTAGGATTTCAGCATCTTTTGGGAGGATACAGTTGGACCAGTAGGAGGTATAAAGGCAGAAAGCAAGTCTCTTCTCTCCTTTCCCCTGCCTTTCGCTTAGACCATGACTGATGTGGTGGGTAACCCAGAGGAGGAGCGCCGAGCTGAGTTCTATTTCCAGCCTTGGGCTCAGGAGGCCGTGTGCCGATACTTTTACTCCAAGGTAGGTGCTTGAGATGCACTGGGAAATTGACCAAAAACAAGGGGTATGTACCGCCGATGGGGTCAGTGATTTTAGGTACCAATTTCTGATCAACTGTCTCATTTTCCACTCTTTTCTCCTTAGGTGCAGCAGAGACGACAAGAATTAGAGCAAGCCCTGGGAATCCGGAATACATAGGGCTTCTCTGACAGTCCTGATTTGGCTGCTCCAGTTATTTGTGCTGTGCTGCCTGCCTCATAGCACCTGCCTTGGTCTTGCTTGGGGCCTTTCAGGGGATGCTGTTGGTTCAAGGACAACACCAGAATGAAGAGGGTCTCACATTTCTGTCTCACAAGACACCTCTTATCCTCTTCTCCCACCCCATCCCTTCCCACCCCTCAGCTTCCCTTTGCCCCACAGTTCCTATGTGCCTCTATCCTCCCCTGGTCTACATAGGACCTCTAGATAGTGGTAGAGAGAGAACCTGTAGTGGTAATCAGTGCTCTGAATGGACTGGGCCTAAGGCCAGATGGTCTTTAATGGGACCAGCTACACTGATCCTGCCCTTCAGAGACCCAGGAGTTGGGAGTTGTAGCCCCTCCTCCAAGACTCAGGCCTTGGGGCGCTCTATAAGCTAGTTTATTTTGGCCCTCCTAATAACAGAATCCAATTTCCTTCCTTCCCTCCACAGGTTTGGAGCAAACTCTCCCTTCACTTGTTGCCCTCTAGCACTAAAGGAACCCTGGCTCTTGGGCTCCACTGAGCCCCAGGTCAGTCCCCAGTCCTCTGCTGTCTCAGTGCTTCTCTGACTCCTTAGTAGGGGTCTTCTTACATCAGTATTGGAATTTGTTCTTGAACTATTGCTCCCTCCTGCACACTCCTTATAGCTGCCCTTTGTAGGATTCCTTCATATCTGCCCTAACCCATGGCATTTGGGTGGGGGAATCTTGCCTTTTCCTGTCAGAGCCCCAGGGATCTAACCTAGGGTACTGTCATTGCCAGCAGAGGCTGTTCCTTCCTGCTGTTGCTTGGAAGAGTGATTTATTCATTCACTCTCCCTTGCCCACTCCTTTAATGGAGAAATAGGCCTAAAATCAAACGGGTAAAGCCCTAGGCTATCCCTGTCTTCCTGTCCCTCATCTGCCCAGTTGATACTTATTGGTGACTTCTAGGGTACCAAGGAGTGAAAGCACCTAGGGCTGGAGAACAGCTCTGATTTGGGTTTGTGACTCTTCCCTCTCCCTGCCTCACAGGATTGTGACTCCCCAGCCCTTGCCCTCAAAGCTTCAGACCCCTCAGGTAGCAGCAGGACCTTGTGATCTTGGCCCCTTGGAACTGAGATGGTTTTGCATCTTTCCAGGAGAGCCTCAGATTCTTCTTCCAGGTTGTATCACCCCCCGAGTTAGCATATCCCAGGCTCGCAGAAAAACACAGCAGGGTGGGAGACAGCTGGGCACAGAGGGGAATTCTGCCAGAATGGGCTCTGAACCCACAAAACTGACAAAGCCCCTGCTTCCCCACCCCTCCTCAGGCTCCTGCGAGCATATCCCCTTGTCCCTTGTCCCTGCCTGTTCTACACTGGGGACAGCAGAGTTTTCTCCCCATCTTCCCCTTCCTGCCATATTCCCATCCCTCCTTCAAAAGGTTCTCCCCACAGTGACACTGGACAACCCTGGGGCAGCTGAGCCCTGGCCTGGCTCCTGGCTGGAACCATGAGGAGGAAGTTCAGCACTCCTATACAGTGTCCCTACTGAAGATAACTGTTTTTATTAACTGAATTATTATGTTTTTTTCATGGACCAAAATTTTTTTTGTACTGTCCCCTTATGGATGTCACCCAGTTTTAATAAAAGAATCTTCTGAAGGGTGAGTCCCCTGCCTCCTGTGGGAGAGCTTCTTCTAAGCTCTTTGTTCTTCACCACCATCAGCCCTGCTCACAATGTCAATGTATTTGACAGATATTTATTGAGCACCTGCTATGTGCCAGCTATGATGCCAGGCACTGGGATTCTAAGGAAAATGAGGTTTTTCCCTGGTGGGCTTGGTCTCACCTGAGAGGCTGGTGACCCAGAGACCAAGAAGGCAAGTTGCTGCTTGGGGTTGTTGGGCTTTACCACTGGATCTTTAGAGTCCTGGCTTCAGTTCCCCTGTTTATTATGTACTAATAGGTGAGTGGCACTGCCATCTTTTCTCTTGACCCTCTGGCTCCTCAGGCCACTTCCTGGCTGGAGTCCTTAGATACTGTAGTGTGTTAGGCTTGACAGAAATTCCTTTAGAGGTTCCATTTCTTTCTGCAGCACCAAGGCCTGGGCAGCAGCAGACATTTTTATTTCCTGAGCTGTTCTCTTTCTACTGGAGCCCCAGAGTGAGCTATCAGTTCTTAAGATTGGCATGGAAGTGCATTAACTTTACAAGTGTAACAAGCCAGGGTACACCTGTGATCCCAGCTACTTTAGCTGCTGAGGCAGGGGATTGTAAGTTTAAGGACAGCCTGGGCAATTTAGTGATACCCTGTCTCAAAAAGGGCTTAGGATGTAGCTCAGCAGTAAAGCCTCTCCCTGCTCCCCTAGTCCAATCCCCAGTTCCATACACAGTATAGATGGGCAGCTTGCAAACTGTAGGAGTCCTCATTAGCAAGACCATGAAATTTTGCAGTTCTTCCTGCTCCCCACTTGGTGGCTCGCTGCTTTCCTCTGCTACTGTTAAAGAAGAGGGAGTAGAACATTGGATGAGTGTAACTGCATCTAAAGTTGCAGTTAAAAAAAAAAAATCCTTTGCCTCTATGGATGGGAATACTCCAGCATCGCTTGTGTTAAGTGAGACCCACCAAAGATAATGACTGTTCCTAATCTGGAACTTGACGTTTCTCAGACTTGATAGGGAAAGCAGAGGAGTTGTGGGGGTGATAACAGAGTGGAGAAAATTGATGTCAAGGACATTGAAATGGCATCTGTTTTTACCCAGGCTAATTACATGTGTAATGAATGGCTGATGAATCATTAATTTCAAGCAAATAATCCACAGTTGGTGCTCAGGAAAAGAGCTCTAGTGATACAGATAGCTTCCTGTGACAAGCCATTTCTGAATCTTGGCACCCTCTTTATTCCTATGTAAATGAACAAATTCTTTGTCTCCACACTACCTAAAATGACAATAGGGGCAAAATGAGAAATGAAGCATTTAGGCAAAAACAAGGGGATTATTTTTATGCATAAATGTCCATTCTTTTGGAGTTCCTAATGTGTGCCAGGGACAGAAACATCTTTTTCATCACCCATAATCAGTGCTCCCAGCTGGCAGCCTGGCACTGGTACCTTCTTCTCAGTGCCAATGCAATGAACGAGTGGTCTGTGGGAGGCTAGCCCTGTATTGGGCCTAACTTTGTTTTAAGGAAGACAACCCCTACCGATTTCTTGTATGTTCCCCTTATAGGAACTCCCTGTTCATAAGTGAATATAGCAGGCTCTTACTGGGCTATCCCTGGACAACCCACACTCTTGACCTCCTGCCCACTTACCCTTACCCACTAGTTTCACCCAGACTCCCCTCTAGCCCACAGCTTATTACTGTCACTAACCAGTGGCAGCCTAGAGGTTTGGCAACTCCCACTGAGCATTCTGCCAAGCCAGGAGGTCAGCATGTGAGCACACAGTGTCGTCTGCCCTCTAGGCCAAGGTGCAGAGATTGGAGGGTTAGGAGCCTCTTGCTCCACTCTCTAGACAAGCCTGGAAACTGGAGCTCCTCCTCCTCTTGGTCAAACAGATGGCTGTGGGTAATGTAGAACCTGAACTGCTGAAGGTATTCCTGCCATTCTCTCTGTCCCCCAGTGATACCTGCTTTCTTTCACAGCATCTGAGACCAAAAAACTCCAGCTATTCCTGAGTTTTGGAAACTGCTGCTCCAGGTCACATCTCCCTCTCCATTTCTGGTCTCTGCAAACTATGTATTAACCTGCAGAAGCCCCTAATGTGGTACTTGAAAACCCAAGAGGAGAAATTGTAGCAATCTCAAAGCCTTGATCTCAAAAGCAGTGTACACTTTGGGTTGCCCTCAAAGAAACCAGGCCCTTACTTATATGTGGTTTCATCCTTAGAAGTGGACCCACATTCACCAACCCCCTCATATCCCTGCAATAGAGCTACTGTAGGGTTGCTTGAGGATAAAACTAGAGCAACTCTGGTCCTAGGAGGGTATGTGCTGGGAGTGGGGGTTAGGTTCTTTTCCTACCTTTGAAAAGAAAACATTCTCAAATCTGCTACTAGGGCTAAATACAATTTATTTCAGTGCTGGGAAAAGAAGGGAGTGAGGGGGGACAATCACTTTGTCCTTATCTGGGCAATTTCTTGACAGAACTCAAAATGAGACCATTGCAAAGGGGGTGGAAAAGTGGGCTGGGGCCAAAGAAATTCGCGAGCAATGTCATCTGCAAAGCCAAGAGGAAAACCAGCCTGGCCTCTGCCCCATTGCCATTCCCCCCCACCTGTCTCTACCCTTTCCCTGGTTCTGTCAGACTCTCTATCTCCCTGGGCGCCAGCTTCTCAGCCACCCCTGGAGGCGGGGCTTGGCTGCACCCATGCGTGGTAGCGGAGTTAAATGCTCTGAGCCGGCACTGCTTGGGCAGAGAAGTGACACCATGGCCAGCAAGAAAGTCTGCATTGTAGGCTCTGGCAACTGGTAAGTGGCTGTCAAGGACCATGGGGGAAGGGTGGCTTCCCCCAAGAAGAGAGGGCTTAAGGAAGGAAGCTGGGTGGGCAGGAGGCAAAGTGGTTGGAAAATTTATCTGGTTCCTGTTCGTCCCCTGCTGCTGTCCTCATTGCCTACATGCACAGGACAGATGACCCACCTCCCAGGCTGTGCCTGCCTGGGCAGTTACACCTGTTCATCAATGGAAGTGAACAGAATGCTCCCTTCTCTGCCTGAAGAGCTGCTTGGGTTTGGGGAGTGGAACCAGAAGGCTGCTCCTCTTCTCCAGCAGCAAAGTGTGAGACTGACTTGAGTCTCCTTTATTGCCAGGTCACAAGAGACTCACTTGTCATAGGAGTGGGGTGGGGGGTGATGAAAAAAATAATCTGGAGTGCTGCTATAAGGCCCTGTAGTGGGTAGGTGTTACCCCATCTCCTGCGGCTGTTTCCTCCCTCACACCCCACTCCTCACTTTCCTGTACTTTCCCTAAACCCCCAGGGGCTCAGCCATTGCCAAGATTGTGGGCGCGAATGCTGCCCAGCTAGCACACTTTGACGCCCGGGTGACCATGTGGGTGTTTGAGGAAGATGTTGGGGGCAGAAAGCTGACAGAGATCATCAACACTCAGCATGAGAATGTCAAATACCTGCCAGGGCACAAGCTGCCCCCAAACGTGGTAAGCCTCAACCTCCTGCAAGGAAGGGAGGAAGTCCAGATGGTCAGTGCCCAGATTTTATCTACAGGAGCCTCCTGCTGAAAGAGAACACTTCAGGTACAAGTTGGACTTGAAAAGTGTCTCAGAAGGGCTTCTGTGGGCACAGGGCACTCCCATGTAGACTCCAAACTGTTCCCTGGGCACTTTCTGGGATTGAGGAGAATTTGCACAGTTCCTCTTTCTTACAGGATTCCAGGGGGAAGAGTCAGGGAAGAGGTGCCTAAGTTGGTTTCCATGACAACCAAAGACTGGTTCTCAGACTCCCAGATTTAGGGTCCCAGCAGTGCCTGCCTCAGGCTCTAATCCTGTTACTCATTCACTGGATTATTAGCAGATTTGGAAGCTGCTCCTTGGACTTTTGGTCTTTGGTCAAATTGATATAGCTCTCTTCCCCACCTGGAAATGGGGGAGCAAGAGAGGAAAAGGGCTCTCTCTTCCCAGTTGGGGCCCCAGGATGATGAAATCTTACTTGGCTTCTCCTCCTGCCAAGCCCAGGCTGCCTTTGGCCTCCCTCACAGTCCCATAGCCAAGGGCCAGGAGCGTGCTGGGGGGAGAGTTCCAGAAATCCAGGTCAGCTGAAGCAGAGGGGCAGTGAAGGTTGGATTTTCCTAAGTTCAATCCTCCCAGATTCAGTCCCAAACTACTCTTTGTTCTCCCTCTTCTTAGTCTCACTCTGGCTCCTAGACTGCTGAATAGAGTTCCCTGGGGGCTAGCAGTGGTCTGCCAAACCCACAAGCACCCACCTGGTTACCCCACAGGTGGCTATACCAGATGTGGTCCAGGCTGCAGCAGATGCTGACATCCTCATCTTTGTGGTGCCCCACCAGTTCATCGGCAAGATCTGCGACCAGCTCAAGGGCCACCTGAAGGCCAACGCCATTGGCATGTCTCTTATTAAGGTGCCAGGGACACCTTCATGTGGATGGGGGCGTGCAGCTAACTATTGTGGGGTTCAAGGTGGATGAAGCAAGTAGAAAAGAAAATGGCAGAAGTAAGCCAAAAGTTCCCAGAGAGAAGAGAGGAGTTGGCTTTGGAGAGGATTAAGAAAGTAGTGAGTTACAGCTGAAGGAAAGCTGGGAAGTAGATAAGGATTCATTTGGAGGCAGAAGCCTTAGGGATAAAGGGATGCTTCAAGGATATGAGAAGTGGGGAGGATTGAGGAGTATGCAAGGGAGCTGGTTTGGAGCAGTGACTGGGCTAGCAGTTGGTTCGGGACAGTAAAGGAGGGAGGTATTTAGGGATTTAGAGGAGAAACATTGCCTTGGAGAGGTAGGTTATTGAAGGTGCATGGAAGGGCTTTTCTGATGAATTGGTTTTTCACCACTGTCTACCTTCCTCACAGCAAACTGTATTGGAATGGGGCAGGACTGGTGGGGAGGTACACTGATAAACAGTGTATTTGTAAGGGGTAGGATTTCTGGGTGGAAAGCCCTCAAATGGTTTATCAAGGGCAGCTGGTCTGAGCTTCATCCTGTGCCCAGGGGGTAGACGAGGGCCCCAATGGGCTGAAGCTCATCTCTGAAGTGATTGGGGAACGCCTTGACATCCCCATGAGCGTGCTGATGGGGGCCAACATTGCCAACGAGGTGGCTGATGAGAAGTTCTGTGAGACTACCATTGGTGAGAGCCTTCCCCAACCCATGCATCACAAAGCTCTAGTGCTTCCTCTCCCCAAATTCCCTGCCAGTCCCTTAGCCATCTCTTTCTACCAGGCAGGAAAAGGAAGATACATAAGAGGTGAGGGAGGGTTGGGACACCCCCAGGGAAGGGGTTGCAGATCCTGCCTCGGACAGGTGTGGAAAGAATAGTCAAGAGTCCTCCCCTCCCTGGGTGTGGTGGCACATGCCAGCAGTCCCAGCTACTTGGGAGGCTGTGGCAAGAGGATCACTTGAGCCCAGGAGTCTGAGGTCAGCCTGAGCAACATAGTGACACCTTGTCTCAAAAAACAAAACCAAAAATGAGCCCCCTCTGAAAGTCTTGCTCTCTCCTCATTTTAGGCTGCAAGGACCCAGTCCAAGGACAGCTTCTGAAAGAGCTCATGCAGACACCCAATTTCCGTATCACAGTGGTACAAGAGGTTGACACAGTAGAGATCTGTGGGGCCTTAAAGGTGAGAGGGGCACAGAAGTAACTACTGAGATGGGAAGAAGGTTCCAAAGGAAGGCCCAGCTTAGCTCTAAAAGACTGCCAGTATTCTAGATCTCACTCATAGGCAGCTGTTCCCTTTCCCCACCAAATCTCACATACATAGGAGGAACTGCAGAAGTAAAACCAGGGGCACTCAGGCCTACTGATTTTCACCATCAGGCTATGGAGCCCTCTTCCTTTCTCCGGAGAGCCCCTTGTGGGACAGGCTGCAGGGGGTGGTCCAAGGGGAAGAAGAGATGCCCAAGCCAATGGGAGACAAGAGATCCTAACTAAACAAGGAGCTGCATGCCTGTAATACCAGCGGCGACTTGGGAGACTGAGGCAGGAGGATCACAAATCCAAGAGCAGCCTCAGCAATATAGTAAGATCCTACCTCAAAATAATATTAAAAAATAAAAAAAAAAAGGTTTGGGGATGTAGCTCAGTGGTAGAATACTTGTCTAGCACATGTGAGACCCTGAGTTCAATCCCTAGTATCAAAAAAAAAAAAAAAGCAATAACTATGAATCAACAACTATGTATATGACTATGGAATAGAAAAGAATGGTCATGGATGAAAGGGTCCCCTGGAGAAAAAATGGCTTTCAGAAAATGTCTTCAGGGATGTAACATGGGGTGGGGCTAAGAGGTACAGCAAGTGGACCAGGTGGGGTGGCTCATGCCTGTAATTCCAGTAACTCTGGAGGCTGAGGCAGGAGGATTATAAATTTGAGGTCAGTCTCAGCAATTTAGCCAGAACCTGTCTTAAAAAAAAAAAAAAAATTAGTAGGCCGGGAGCAGTGGCGCACACCTGTAATCCTAGCAGCTCAGGAGGCTGAGACAGGAAGATCAAAGTTCAAAGCCAGCAATGGCCAGGCACTAAGTGACTCAGTGAGACCCTGTCTGAAATGCAGCTCACTAGTTCAGCACCTCTGAGTTCAATCACTGGTACTGGAAAAAAAAGGTGTAGCAAGTAGGAAAACCAGAACGTGGACATGGTTCAGGAACCCTTATTCTTCCTTCATTTACTTGGTGGGTGTGTTATAGCTAATGTGGGGAGCATGAGGCAGGTGCTGAGGGCTCCAGATGGGCCACTGGAAGGTGTCCTTCCTCACTCATGCCTTCTACTCCCCAAAGAATATAGTGGCTGTTGGGGCTGGCTTCTGTGATGGGCTAGGCTTTGGAGACAACACCAAGGCAGCAGTGATCCGGCTGGGGCTCATGGAGATGATTGCCTTTGCTAAGCTCTTCTGCCAAGGCCCAGTGTCATCTGCCACCTTCTTGGAGAGTTGTGGCGTTGCTGACCTCATCACTACCTGCTACGGAGGGCGGAACCGCAAGGTGGCTGAGGCCTTTGCTCGCACTGGAAAGGTGGGCCCTGGGAACAGGGGGAATAGAGGGTGGTCCCTGCTGGCATCAAGGTAGAAGCACTTAGCTGGCAGCTCCTGAGCACAAACATTAATATTGTTGTAGACATTCCTACCCGTTTTTCCCCCGTATAACCCCACAGCCCATTTGAGCCCAACTTTCCATATGGATGACCTGCTCTCCCACCTCCATACATGTGGCCTGTTTTCTTTACAGTCCATTGAACAGCTTGAGAAAGAGATGCTGAATGGGCAGAAGCTGCAGGGGCCCCAGACAGCCCGAGAGCTACACAGCATCCTCCAGCATAAGGGCCTGGTTGACAAGTAAGTGTGCTATATAGCCTTCCTGGCTGAGGGAGCCACAAGCCAAGAGCGGTCCCTGTTCTTGAACCACCTTCTTGAACTTTGCACTGTCTGTGAAGTGGATAGAGAAGGAACCCTAACCTTCTGTTTCAAGGTTAAAATCTGGACTACCTATTCTCCCCAGCCAGTTCACGGCCTTGGAGTTCATTCTGGTCTAGTGCTCTTTTATACTTCATTACTTGGACCTCTCTGAATAGCCTCCTTTTTTTATCCTTTCTTCCTTGTCCTCTGCTTTAAGGGTTAGAGCCCTGGGGCAGGAATAAGCTCATCTGATTGTCTCACCTCTTTGTCCAACTCCCCATCAGCCCTCTGTCCTCTGCATCGCATCCTTGGTATTGATTGAGAATGGGTTCTGCTTCAAGATTCTCCTTTCCAGGGAGCATAGACAGTGGGCTGAGCAGAACAGAGTTCAGTTGGCCTGGGAAATAATCATAGAAAAAGAGAAAATGAAATAGGATCAGCACAGTTCATGGCTTTGGGTAAAGGTGATGGGAGGGGAGGACAAGAAGGAAAATGGCATTTATTGACACCTTCACATAATGCATATCAAATCTTCATGTATATAATCATATCTTTAACTACTTTGGCTGGGCACTATGGTGCATGCCTTTAATCCCAGCAGCCAGGGAGACTGAGGCAGGAGGACTGTAAGTTCAAGGCTAGCTTCAACAACTTATTGAGACCCTCAGCAACTTAGCAAGATCCTGTCTCAAAATAAAAAATAAAAAGGACTGGAGATGTAGTTCCGTGGTAAAAACAGCCCTGAGTTCAAGCCCTAGTGTCAAAGGCGGGAAAAACTCTCATATTTTTACTACTTGTCATATTATCCCCATTTTACAGTAGAGGACACTGAAGCTCAGAGAGGTGGGGGATGGGGGGAAATCACTTAAAGCCAAGGAAGCATGTAGACAAGTTCAATATGAAACAGAGCAGGGCAGGTAGTAACCTGACCCTATAACGCAGGGCTGGGGAGTTCAGATACTCAGCAGGTAGAAATTCAGAGCCAGAGTCAGCCTGAGCTCTGAGGCGGAAGGGTAGAGGAGTGCAGGTTAGGCAGTGAATGTTGAGTGGGGGAGGAAGGGTGAAGAGTGGGAGACTAAGCCTTGCCTTTCCCCACAACTCTAGGTTCCCCCTGTTCATGGCTGTCTACAAGGTATGCTATGAGGGCCAGCCAGTGGGTGAATTTATCCGCTGCCTGCAGAATCATCCAGAACACATGTGAATGGGGCGAAGACCCAGAACAGGCAGCTCCTTTTTCCCATTTGACACAAGTAGAAGTTGGGGCACCTGGTTACCAGGATCTCCAGGACTCCTCACCAAGCAGTTTTCTCAGCTTTTCACTGGAAGACAAAAGGCAGTGGGTCAGCTACGCACCTGGAGATCCTAACTGCCTGAAGCCTAGAGCCTCTTGCCAGAAATGGAGCTGCCCTGTCCTTCTGCAGATGTGGAGCTTTCTCCTTGTCTTCTGGGAGGCACAGAATCAAGTCTCAGTGCTGCCTGCTCTAGGAATGTGTACGGGGGAGGGTGGGAGGAGAGTGTGTCAGGGCAAGGGCTGCCAGTTGTTGCCTCACACAGACCAGGAACCTGCCCCCAAGCCGAATTAAGTGGCTAAAGAAGTACCTTAGCATAGGAGGGATGAGGCAAGGGCTGCCAGGGAGGGGTCTGGGTGTTTGAACTGATATAGGTGCCATAGATCCTTTGGCTGACCTCTGACACAGCATCAACAGATCTCGGTATTTGTTAACAAAATACAAAGATCTCAAGCAACCCCTTTCTAGCTTCTCCTAGCAACAACTACATCCTCAGAAACCTCTGGTCATCCCTCTTCCCCCTCCCTTAGGCTGCCCTGGCACAAGAGTTGCTTCATGCTGGCATCTCTGGCCCTGGGACTTGCTACTAGCCCCAGGGACTTCCTGGGTCCTAGATCTTTGCCAGCTCCTCCCCACCTTGTGTGACCTTTCCAAGCTTTCCCTCACTGGCCCTAACTGCCAGAACCCTCTTTGGGGAGCAGGAACTTAAATCTGCTGACAGAGCTATACCTTTTCATAGCCAGCTCAGATCACTGGGCTCTGGCTTTTTGTGACCTTTGTATTTGCCCAGCCTCCCTGTCAAGAGCTCTAGCTGGGGGAGGTGTCATCTGGGTCCCTCCTGCTGTTTATCTCTCCAGAGAACATCCCTGCCTCTACCCTCTCCTCCTCCTCCTCCTCCTCAATCCTGTAGTTCTTTCTCAGCTGCCCCAGAGCAGCCAGGACAGCTAGCCAGCACGAGGCATCTAGAAGCCTGGGGTCAGATTGGCCCAAAGGCTAAACAAGGTTCCCATGCTGGTGGGTTCTTGATATTCCAAAGCCAGCTCTCCTTCCTCCAGTGAAAGCCTCCTCATGAGGCACTGACCATATCAGCACTTCAGTTGGGAAATTCAAGGAGGAAGAAGAAAATAAAAACCACCCTGTGCCCTGGGGTGAGGGAAGAACAGGAGGGGGAGGGAGAGGAGTATGCTTTGCACTGGCCTTGTTCCAGGACTGGGTGGCTGCAGGGGAATGTCACAGGTCAGCAGCAGTTCCCCTAGCTATAAATAGTCCCTGAGGGCTGAGAGGCTCCTGTGTCCAACAGTGGTCTCCGCTTCCTGTGTGGCAGCACCTGGCACATTGTGATTCTGGCCAGCTTCATGTTAATCCTCCCTTACTTCCCAACAAACTAGGGAGTCAGGCTCCTCTTGGCTCCTAAAATTTGAGAATTCAGACTTACCAAGTGTAGGGCACAGCTGCCTGTATCAGGCCAGAAAAGTGCAGGCAGTCATCCCAGGTCTGGCTGGGCCCACGTCTGGGTACTGTGTGAATCCAGAGCTGCCCTTGAGGAGGTTATGGTGCAGCAAAGACAGCTTCCAATACCTTTGCCTACTTCTGTTCAGTCCATAGTCAATTGTGAATCTGAGGTTTTCTATCAGGCCACTTGACCACCCAATAAAGCATTGTTTTTTTCCAGAAAGAGTACGAGTTGGGGAAGGGGCTTCAGTGGATGTGGTAATGCGTTCCCTGTCCTGTATCACCACATATGTGTTTTCACTCTTACCACGGGACAAATGAAAAAGAAAATCCCTCGTCGATAATCAGTTATTCCAGGGCCCCAGCAATGGGGCCTACTCAGTCCTCTCCTCTGTCCTCCTCACCGGCAAAGCCCCTCACACCCATCTCTCCCTAAGCAGTCATCCAGACTTCCCAGAGCTTCTTAGGGGCTTTAGCATGCCACCTACAAACGGGATCACGCAAGGGGCAGAAACATTATAGTCACCCCTCATGCTCACTTCATGGTCAAGGCCTTGCGGCGCGGGTCACGTCCCTACCTGAGCTTGGTCCGCAGCCCGACCGCCCAGGAGAGGGACGCTCCAGGCTCTAGGGGGCGCGCGGTCCACCTGCCGGGGCGGGGCTGGCTCTGAGCGAATCCTCCTAGCTACCAGAGACGTCACCGCACCAAAGGCTGGGATTGGTTGCGTCTGGGCATTCTAAATTCCGGTTCCCGAGTTTAAGCCACCAAAGACAGTCTCTCAATGGAGCATTATCCACAACTCCCATAATTCATAACGAGAGGAAAGCTCGTCTGAGGATGCGGAGCAAGAGCGACTTGACCCGGAAGCCGAATTTCAAAACTGGCCACCAGCGTGAGGCGTGGCAGGCGAGGGTTCCCGCCTCAGTGGGCGGGGTTGTGCGGGTCCGGCGCCGATCCGCTTTCCGGCTTCGGGGAACTAACCCTAGAGGCCCAGCCGGGCGAGTGGGCGGGAAGAAGGGCGGCTTTCCTCACCAATAGCTGAGGCGTTGGAAGTGGTTCCTGGGCCTTCACCCGCACGAGTCTGGTTCTGGGCGTCGCTTTCGGCGTTGCTTAGGCGTTGTGCAGGCCGTGGCAGCGAGACGTAGCCTGCGGAGGTCTGGGTTGGACTCGTGGGAGCTGCAGCATCCAGGTACGCCTTTGGCCAGGGTTGAGCAGGGGCCGCCGATCCCACGGAAGACGCGGCCACCTGGGCCGGCGCTTGCTAACTCCACCGCCCCACCCGCCTGTTTGTGGGCTTCTGTGCCCTTGAGATCCTACGCGCGTTTGCTGTGCGGCTGCTTGCCCAATCCCCTTGAAGCCGTAGGTCAACCTTGCTACTCGTAGGGCTAGCCCTGTCAAACCTCAGTTATTGCCTGGCGCATGGGCCCTCAGGCTGCGACTACAAATGCTACCTGAATCACAGTCCCTCTTCGCTGGTGTAAATCTTCCCCACTTTTCTAAGAAGATAGCTCCACCCCTACACCTTTCTGCCTCTTCGCATAGTGCCTCTTCGCATCTGCTCACACACCGTCTTCTACCTTGAGTGACAGAATATATAGGATTCATAGCAAATCTGCATGAGCTCCTTTAGACAAAAGCTGGGTTTTATTGGCGGCCTTCCATAGCATGTGTGCTCCATGTTTCTAGTAGGAGATAAACAAGTGCATTTAAGTCTAGGTGATAGATCCATTCGAGGGAATGAGTTTACCGGAGGAGAAATCTGAACCTTGAAATCCTCCTATGTTTAGAGGGCAGAAAGAGAAGAGCCTTTGCAAATTGCATCCCTATGGCATTTTCCTTAATGATTCTTCGGATAGTTTTTTCCTAGTTTTCTGAAATCTGCCGTCCATCTCCACCATTTCAGAACAGACCTAGCTTTGTGATTTATTGAAAAAATGGATTCCCCTTACATGAGAACATTACCCTGCTAGTTTCGAAAGTTTCCTTCATTTCCAAGGTTAATCCTACTGCATAGGCTTCTGATTTCATTTTCCTCCACCATTCTCAATCTAGTTCTCTTTCTACCACTTCACTTTTTTTATCCTTAGTTAAGCCACCACCTTTTCACTCTTTAAAACATATTCAAACCTAACTTACCAATAAAAACAAAACTAGAATTTTCTTAATCTTATTGCCTTTGTGAGTACTGCTCTGTAATTCCCATTCCCTAAGGAGCAAACCACAAGAACATCAGTTCTTATCTTTGGGGCAAATCCTTCTAATTATCTGTTTTTCTCTGATCCTTCTAATTATCTGTTTTTCTCTGTTCAGGAAAAATGCTAGACATTTGAATGTTGAGGGGTTCATAGGCCTGTTGGGGCCATGACTGAGAATTTGTGCTCTCGATGCCTATACTGTCTATTCCAGTTCATTGACTAAAGTGACTTCTGCCATAGGCTTACCAGTGACCTAGTTGCCTGTTCCCAAGCAGTGGTCCCTCCTGATCAGTCTTCATGGTTTTTGTTGTTTGGTACTGGGGATTGAACCTAACATAGAAGCACTTAACCACTGAGCCACATCCCTAGCCCTTTTTATTATTTTTTTATTTTTAGACACTAAGTTGCTGAGAGTCAAGCTAAATTGCTGAAGCTGGCTTTGAACTCACAAGCCTCCAGTTGCAGCCTCCCTAGCTGCTAGGATTAGAGGCATGTGCCACCAAGCCCCAGTCTTTTTTTTTTTTTTTTTTTTGGTACCGGGGATTGAACTTAGGGGCACTGGACCACTGAGCCACATCCCCAGCCCTATTTTTTATATTTTATTCAGAGACAGGGTATCACTGATTTGTTTAGTGCCTGGCTTTTGCTGAGGCTAGCTTTGAATTCACATCCTCCTGTCTCAGCCTCCCGACCCACTGGGATCACAGGCATGTGCCACCACGCAGGCTCATTCACGGCTCCCTCACGGCTCCTCCTGGTGTTTTGCAGTAGTGGTTTCCAACTATTATTCTGGTCAAATACATTGGAAAGATATAGCACACTTCTGCCAGTGGCAATAATTTTGATATATCAGTAATTTTCAACCTTGAAGGGAGATGTAGATATTTCTAGAATTTCCTATATACCTTATCTTCTTAATTGTTTCTTTCATCAAACTTGCTTCCTTGGCCTATTTCTTTCTGGTCTTATCCCCTGCTTTGGTATCACTTGTTACCTTCATCTGCATCTCATATATAGCCTTCTCTCCCAAGATCTATCCAGATTCTTATTTACATTTGCCTGATACTCAAAGAAAAAAAGAACATAAACATCATCACATGAAAATTACATTTTAATTTTATTATGTTCAAACCAGCTCAGGATTTATTTATTTTATTTTTTTATGGTGCTGGACATTGGAATCCAGGGCTTTGCATATGCTAGGCAATCATCATTAAGACACAAGCCTCCAGCCCCTTTGATCTTGACTGACACCACCACCTCTCACTGTTAATACACAATATGCGTACCCCTTTCTCCTCTTTTTAATTTTTTTTTTTGGTGCTGGGGATTGAACCCAGGGTCTTGTGCATGCAAGGCAAGCAGCTGAGCTATATCCTTAGATATACCAGCTGAGCTGTATCCTCAGCCCCTCTTGTGCTTATTTCTGTGAACAATATCCCAATCTACAGAGTTTCTTAACTTGGAGATATTTTCAGTTTTGCCGTATTCCATTCAGTTGCTAAATCCTGTATTTATAAAGTAGCTTTTGCATCTGTCCTATCCATTCTTTTGCATTAGTTTGGTGAAGAGTTTTTGCTAATTTGAAAATGGGAGCAGCCTCAGGATGGATTAGACCAGAGAATTAAGTGAGACTCTAGATAACAGGTTTGTGTTTGTTAGTTGGTCTTATATTACTCTCTAGGAGGAGCCACACCATCCTATTCCTTTGTTGGCTGATGAATGCTTCCAGCTCTTTCCCTCCAGCCCCTCAAAGAGACTGAGCTTCTGGCCAGGTTAGGGGAGATAGCAGGAGAAAGATTAAGTGCACCCTGGTTCAGTGGCATACACCTGTAATCTTAGCTACTTGGAAGACTTGAGGCAGGAGGATTACAAATTTGAGACCAATCTCAGTAATTTAGTGAGACCCTGCCTCAAATAAATAAATAAATGGGATGTAGCTTAGTGGTAAAGCTCCCCTGAGTTCAATCCCAGTACAAAAAAAAAAAAAAGTTTGAGACCAACCAGGGCAATTTAGCGAGACCATGTCTCAAAAACTAAAAACAGTGGTTGGGGTTGTAGCTTAGTGGTAGAGCACTTGCCTAGCACTTGTGAGGCACTGGGTTTGATCCTCAGCACCACATAAAAATAAATAAATAAAATAAAGGTATGTGTCCATCTATAACTAAAAATATTTCTTAAAAAAAGAGAGAAAGAAAAAGGGCTGGGGAAATAGCTCAGTGGTTAAGTGTCCCTGGATTCAGTCCCCATTATTGCAATAAATAAACAAACAGGTAGATAAGTAAATAAATAATTGAAGTAAAGATTGAGTGAAACCTGCTGGCTGCAGTCTCTGTCAGGTCCTTGTTTACTACCTTAGAGTAGTGGCCTATGCGCTTATGTTTCTTCACTGTTTCATGCACAGTTTGAGGTCATAATCTGAACACATCCCTTTGTCATTTTGAACTTTTGTCATTTGGTTTTCTTCCTCTGATCTTCTTTAATGTCTCTTGCCATAGTGGAATTGTAATTCTAAGAAGCTGTGCCTCAGCTCATCTTGGGATCTGTCCTCAAGTAAATGTTCATTCCTTAGGACTCACCCTGAGAAGCATGCACATGTCTCTTACCTTACCTTAGGCTCCCTAAACCAGCTAATTTTGAGTTTATTTTATTTCAGATTTTTGACTTTTTGTTTGTTTGATATGGAGTCTCAATGTTTCCCAGGTAGGCCCTAAATCCCTGGGCTCAAGTAATCCTCCTGCCTCAGCTTCCCGATTAGTTAGGATTACAGGCACATTCTACCACACGTGGCCCCCAATTTTTTGTTGAAAGAAACTTATCCTAGCCGAGCATGGTGGCGCATTCTCATAATCCCAATGACTCTGGAGGCTAAGGTAGAAAGATTCCAAGTTCAGGGCCAGCCTCAGCAATTTAGCAAGCCCCTGTGCAATTTAGTGAGACCCTGTCTCAAAAAATAATTTTAAAAAGGTGGTAGGGACTTGGGATTTAGCTTATCAGTAAAGTGTCCCTGGATCCAACCTCTAGTGCCAAAACAAAACAAAACCAAAAAAAACCTGCTTTAAGACTTAACTTGGAAACCTAACCACTGTATGGAGATGTGTATGTGTGTGTGTATACTTTTTTTTTTTTTTTGCAGTACTGGAGATTGAATTCAGGGGCCCTTTTCCAGTGAGCATCATCCTCAGCCCTTTTTTAATCTTTTATTTTGAGACTGGGTCTTTCTAAGTTCTTGAGTCTGACCTTGAACATGCAATCCTCATGCCTTAGCTTTCCGATTAGCTTGGATTACAGGCATGTGTCACTATGCCCAGCCTAAGATTTTTTAATTTTTTTGTAGCTGTAGATGAACAGAATGCCTTTATTTTAATTGTCTGTTTTTATGTGGCACAGTGGATCGAACCCAGTGTCTCACACATGCAAGGCAAGCACTCTGCCGCTGAGCTACAGCCCCAGCCCCTAAGATTGTTTTTATAGGGGAAAAAAAATTGGATATTGCCTGAAAGATTCCCATTTGATCCTCCTAAGAGAATAATTTACTGCAAATATTTAAACCCTGGCTATTTCCATTAGTTTTCTATAAGCCAGAAAAAAAACAAAAACAAAAACTGGTGCATGCTTTAAGTAATGTACCAGTTAAGAAGAGTTCTGGGTGGATCAGTCACTTCTCTCCACAGATATGGAGGGCCATTAGCTGTGATAGTATTCATATGCACCCAGTTCTAGCCTGGTGTCTGTATCTCTCTTTTTGCAGTATTGGGGATTGAACCTGTGGCCTTGTGTGTACTAGGCAAATGCTCTGCCACTAAGCAACATTCCCTAGCAATGTCTGTTTATATGAAAATATCTGCCCTTTTGAATCAGAGTTCCCAAGTGATGTCTAGTATCCTTATTAGACTGCTTACACTTGGTGGCCTTTCCATATAGAGTACAGACAGACTAAGCAAGGCCCATAAGTTATGGAATGCCCTACACAGGGAGATGGACTGGGTAGATAAGACCTTATCCTGGGGTTTAAATCCAATTTGTCTTTGTAGGGGACAACATGCCAACTGCCAAGCAGCTAGCTGACATTGGCTACAAGACCTTTTCTACCTCCATGATGCTTCTCACTGTGTATGGGGGCTACCTCTGCAGTGTCCGAGCTTACCGCTACTTCCAGCTGCGCAGTGCCCGGCGCCAGGCTGCGGAAGAACAGAAGACCTCAGGAGTCCTATAGAGCTGGAGGCACTTTTACTCTTGAACACAGAGGCCTGAGGCTTGCTTTGGAAAGAACTTTCCTATAATCATTTTCAGATTGAGAGGACTAGAGCCCTGATGGTTTTCAGTCTCTGCTGAAGAAAGTACCCATGATTTCTCTAGTACTGACAGTTTGACAGTTGTGGTGGAGGCTATTGAATCATAATAGGAATGTAAGAGTGAAGTATATCCACAGAATTAAATATGTTGTCATATCTGTGTCTTGGCATTTTTGTTTACCCAAATAAATGTATGGACCACAGAAGTAGAGTGTTGACTACTGGTTTTCATAGACTAGAGAGCTCAATATTCATTTCATGAATAATGAGAGAGAGTTTTTAGCAACAGTAGCATTAACCCTCATGATCTCAGAAATCTAAGACTGTCCCAGTATTTGTTTATAGTTTTTATTTATTTATTTTTGGTGCTTAAGATTGAATCCAGGCCTTGTGCATGCTAAGTTTGCACTCTACCACTGAGGTATGCCTTCAGCCCCTGTCCCAGAATTTATATAAATCCCCTGAAAAAAAAACTAAGCTCTTTGGACTGTGACTATTCGTGGACCAATAACTGTCTAGGGAATGGGATACTGTGGTCAGCATGAGTATACTTGTACCTACCTCTTTGTTAGGAAGACAGAGTCCCTTGTTTGACAGTCCCAATAAAACTGTATGAAGTGAAAGAAGGATAGTTCCCAAAATAAAAGGCTTTCAGGAAGCATATATAGTAAATATCCCATCGGGTGCAGAATTAGTAGAAGTTTTGAACTATGCTACTGCACAGGGAATCAACTTCTAAGTCTTCCAGAAATGTAAAGATTTGAAAGAAAATGTACTGCATTTAAGTAAAACCTCACTATGAAGAGAGAGATTCTTGCCATTATTCCATTTAGAATTTTATTTTTTATTTTGAAATAGCTTCTCACCAAGTTGCTGAAACTGACCTCTAATTTGTAATCTTCTGACTTCAGTCTCCCAAGTCCCTGGGATTACCATGGTGTGTGCCACCATGCCCAGCTATAAACCTCCTTCTTGACTAAAACAAAAAAACAGCTTTGGTGGCTAAGGATGTAGCTCAGTGGTAGAGCACTTACCCAGTATGTGTGGCCCTGAGTTCAATCCCAGCACAATAAACCTCCACCCCTACTCCAAAGCCTTCTATATCCTTAGCTACTTTACTCTCTTCTTTGGTATGTTAACTGGGGACTCTGCTGCCTCCTGTTTTCTCATTTGCTGTATGTTAAGTAGGATCACCATTCTCCCAGTTCCCCAGTGCCACTTTGAAGTAGTGACTAGGATTTCCTTATCCAAGTAGAAAAATTAGTCCTTTTAAAATTGTACTGAGGATTGAACCAGGGCCTTGCATGTGCTAGGCAAGCGATCTATCACTGTACTACATCCCTAGCCCTAAAATGAGCCCTTTTTTTTTTTTTTGGTGGGGGGTACTGGGGATTGAACTCAGCCATTGAGCCATATCCCCTGCTCTATTTTGTATTTTATTTAGAGACAGGGTTTTACTTAGTTGGTTAGCATCTTACTTTTGCTAAGGCTGGCTTTTAACTCAAGATTCTGCCTCAGCCTCCTGAGTCACTGGGATTACAAGCACTCACCACCACACCCAGCTTTTTTTCTTTTTTTTTTTTATACCAGGGATTGAACCCAGGGGTGCTTAACCACTGAGCCACATCCCCAGCCCTTTATATTTTTTTATTTAGCAGCCGGGTCTCATGAATTTGTTTAAGGCCTTGCTAAATTGTTGAGGTTGGCCTTGAACTTGAGATCCTCCTGTCTCAGCCCTCCCTGAGTCATTGTGGTTATATGTGTGTGCCACCACACCTGACTTTATGATAGTCTTGTACCAATGTTATTCTTGCTCTCTATTCAAACTTGTAGCATTCTAGATTTCAATCCTAATCCAATAGTATGAACATAATTCCATCTCAAAACAAGATCCTAATTCCTGTGATTGATTCTCAATTCATTATCATCTAAGGCAAACTATAGTCTATGCCTTTGGGCTAAACATTTTTTCACTATCTCCTATTTCTCATTATGAAGTCTTCGGTAGTATAGCGATTAATACAGAGCATAATAGATATTACAGTGGTTAAAAATACAGATAATAAGGCTGGGGTTGTGACTCAGAGCAATCACCTACGATACGTGCGTGAGGCACTGGGTTCGATCCTCAGCACCACATAAAAATAAAGATATTGTGTGTACCTATAACTAAAAAAATATTTTAAAAAACAGATAACATGCCAGCTGAGGAAGGAGGATCACAAATTCTAGGGCATCCCGGGCAACTTGAAGACTGACCCTGCCTCAAAATAAAAAATGAAAAGGGCTGGGGATGTAGCTCAGTGGTTAAGCACCCCTGGGGGTTTAATTCCTGGTACCAAAAAAAGGTTGGAGATGTAGCTCAGGGCAGGGTTCAATCCCCAGTACCACAAAAAAGAGAAAAAAGAAAGACAATAGGTTGGACTCCTTACTAGTTATTTGACCTCCAGTAGGTTAACCTCTTTTTGCCTCATCCTTGTTACATGTATTTAATAATAGTGCCTGGCATATAAGAGTTGTGTTGGCTTCTGCTTTTAAAAAATTTGGTCACTTGGTTGCACCTTTTGTCAGATAAACTGGGCCAACCAATTCAGACTATATTAACAAAGCAATTGTTCATATTCCAGAAAGACAAAATATATATCTGACTTTTTAAAGCATTTTCATTTATATTTCACACTAATCTATTCAACAATATGGCAAGTTGAAGAGCTAAACATAAGACATGTCATTTAGTTTTTCCAATTAGCTGTAACCAAATGATTAGAACTTCAAGTTCCCCTTAATGATGCATATTAAGTCTTTAAAATCCAGTTGCTCAGTAAGGTTAGTAGTGTCAATAGCCTTAATAATTTTTATGAACATTAAGTTGGGTATCTATCTCATTCCTTTTTTTAAAAAATATTCTTTTAGTTGTAGTTGGATTCAATAACTTTATTTCACTTATTTATTTTTATGTGATGCTGAGGATCGAACCCAGGATCTCAAATGTGCGAGTCATGCGCTCTACCATAACCCCAGCCCTGTATCCCATTCTTAACATCTACTCAATCTTAAAATGTAACTTGAAGTTTCTGTGGTTAATAAAATGAGAAACACAAATATCTAACTAAAGGTGTCTTAGCTTTTGGGCTGAAGATATGGTTCAAAGAACTTTCCCACCATGTGCTAGGACCAGAGTTTAATATTCAGCACTGAAAAACAAACACAGGAAGGGGTAGGTGGGCTGACAGCTCTCAACCAAAGGCTTTGGTTTCACTATACATGCTCCCCCTTCAGTATTGGAAATTGAATTCAGGGGCGCTTTACCACTGAGCTACATCCCCATTCCGTTTTATTTATTTTGAGATAAATCTAGCCTTAAAGTTCAATCCTCCTGCCTCACAGGCATGTGCCCAGCTAGTGTGTATGTGCTTTTATCTTCACAGCATTGTTCTTGTGACCCATCAAATATGTTTACTTTTTTAAAAAAACATAAAGCCCTAAAATGTGGGTACATTTGACTTTCCCCAGCATGAACAGAAAGGAAAATTTTGGTTTCAGCTTCTCTTGAATCAGACCTAAAGATATTCTTAATTAGCTTATAATTTGAAATCAGTGACAGGAGTTACTAAAAAGGTTGAGACAGTAGGAGGAGACTTGAAGCACTTTAATCACAGACAAGTAAACAATAGTATAAAACCGTTAACAGCACACCCAGTGGCTGTTGTCCTCCTCCAGCCCCTCAGCTCACCCTCTCCCACCCACCTCCCTGTGTACCATTGAGTAAAGAGCAGGGATTCAGCAGTTGTTTGTTCCTGTCATCAGGTGGTAGAAAGGGGATCTAGCTAGGGGCCAGAGCAATCTTGGCATCCATCCAATGTTTTCTGTTTCTATACAACTTCATCATATGAAATATTTCTGCTCCAAAAGAGGAACAGTGCAGAAACCTGGAGCTGAACCTGGTTCAGATGGTCCAGGAATTTGGAATCTCAAAAACCATGATCCAAAATGGAGGAGACAGTCCAGAGATAACATAATTCAAGATGCAGCCAAATCTGGGATTGAGGTGAGTTCAAAAGGGACCAGGCAAGGCTAAGGGGACCCAGTCCAGGCAGGATTGTGCCCCAGGAAAGAAAACTCACGCATATGCAAAATGCACATGCACAAACACACAAACACAAACAGCAAATAATAACATTACTAGAAAGGACTTGAAGGCTATTAAATACAAAATGGAAGAGTTTTTTTTTTAAGTGAATATTCGTTTCTTTGATTCTCCTCAATGGCTGACAGTCTCTTTAGTCATAGGAGTGTAGATGTAGGGAGGCCCAAGAGGAGTAGATTGCCAGTGGTCCTATAAGTCCATGTGTACTGAAGTTCCCATGCCAACCATCTTATTCTCCAGCCCAGTAACTTCTTCCCATGTGACCATTCACCCAGTTGGCACCATTGCTGGAGCTGCTGCCAGAGAGGGTTTTTTTGCAGGTGGTCTCATCTTCCTCCTCTGAGCTACTTTCCACATCACTTCGATCATCTTTGGAAACCTGGTGGAATGGGACCAAAGTCAGGAAAGTGAGGCCAGAATATTTCTTGAAAGAATCATAAGAATAAACTCAGAGCCCATTTTGGCACACTATTCCCAATCTTATCTACTTTCTAGTGACATCTGACTCAAAGTATTATCTGCACCCTGGTTACTATTATGAATATACTTTGCCTGCTTTCTGATCTTCTCTTGTTATCTCTGATTGTGTTCTTTACAGAATAGAAGTTTTTTGGTAGAAAGGTATATGCTTTAAGACTGGTTTAAAAGAACTGACACCATCCACTGAGTCCTGGTCTAAGCTTGAGGGAAACTCTAGTCACTTATTCCTCTTCAAGAACAAAGGAGGCTGGGTGTGGTGACACACACCAGTAATCCAGCTATTCAGGAAGCTGAGGCAAAAGGATCCTAAGTCCAAGGCCAGCTTTGGCAATTTAGCAAGACTAAAATATCTCAGTGGTAGAATATCTGGGTTCAATCTCGAGAACTAGGGCAGAGATTAGAACCCAGATGACTAATTGATTACCCGATATTCAGAAAATTTCCACCAGGAGGCAGACTGTCTCTAGATTTGAGATAAAGGGAGGCTCAAAAGTCAAAATTAAAAAAAAAAACAAAACAAAAGAACAACAAAAAAACTCTGCTCTTTTTGAGTAGACTCAACTCTTGTCTCAATTTAGGAAAATAATTTGGTAACTTCAGCTCTTCATCAGGAGAGAGAATACGCTCTAAGACAAGCACAGGAGAACAGAAAGGACAGCAAGAAGAAAAAGAAACTGAGACAGACATGCTTCCCTGAATACTAAAAGCACAGGTACACTTACATGCAAGAGATGAAACTGTCCAATTCCCACCAGGCATAGAAAAAAAGAAGGAGGTGAGAAAAGAGTGAAGAGTACAGAGTCTGGGTCTAATCCTTCCTTGGCAGGTCACCTGGTCAGGAAAGAAAAGCAGGGGAGAAAAGAGATGTCTTGCTAGCTATAGCAAGATGCATAGGTACACTGAGCTAGATCTAAAACTAATCACAGCCTTAAAACACAAAGACCCAAGAGCATAAATACCTAGGTTATATTCTATTTGTCTGTCCCAGAATCAACACCTCCTCTAGCAGAGCCCTTCCCACCTGAATTCTATTATATTACTGAAGGCTCTTCACAGTCTGACTGCTTTAGAACTTACTGAAATTCAATTGTGAGTTTTATCATTAAATGGTACCTTTCAGGACTAGGGGTATAGCTTGTAACTTAGTGGTAGAGTGTTTACCTAGTATGTACAAGGCCCTGTGTTTGATCCACAGCACCAAAACCAAACCAACCAACCAAACTAAATAAAACAAAACCTTTCTGGTACTTGGCATAAGATAGATGGGTATTAGAAACACTAAACACCTATTCATTTAAGACCCTTGCCCCATAGAATGATGAGGTGAAACTTAATTCTTCATATAAATCACATCTTGAGTATCATCACAGCATTGTCATTTAGGGATGCTTTTGAACTCCCACACCATACCTACGTAGCCCAAAAATCTGTTTTTACTTGTGGTGCTGCATATGATTTCCTTAAAAAAAAAAAAAAAGGCTCCCATAATAAAACTCAAAATAGGAAGTCAATAGGTAGGTGAGGGATAGGGAATGGTTGAGGCTGCCTCAAAACACTTAACCCTATTTGTCATTTAACAGCCATTCTTAAGGGACAGGAAGAAGATACTAGATCCTCCTGCATCTAAGTCACATCTTAAAAGGCTAAAGACACTCATAGTCAAGGCAAAAACTTTGGAAACCTAAGTTTTTTGCTTAGCCTAGTTTGTAAATGGGGGCTCATAATGGAAAAAGAAGATCTATTGAGTAATACCCATCTACCCAAAGAAAGAGGTCATCCTTCCTTACCTTTCCCCTGATCAAGGCTTTGAAGGCAATTCGTGCAATAAGGTAGGACCAGATGACATGCAAAACCTGTAGGATCAGGAGAAGGCCATTGAAGAGCCACCAGGAAGGATAAGGCCCAATCATTTCCCAACTCTCAAAGAGGGTTGTGTTCAGAATCCTAGAAAAGGGAGTCCAATGGTTAGATTCTAGAGTCAAAGCCAGGCAGACAAGGATGAAGCTGAGTTCCCTGGGATGTAGAGCCCCATCTGTTCTTTCTCAGGCTTTGTGTGAGCTGAAATTCCAAAGATACTCATCCATTGTAAGAAAAGAATAAAGAAACAGGGGCCATGAGACATAAATCTCAGGAACCAGTGAAATAAATTACTCTTAATTATTTTAAATATGCATAGTGTCACAAAATTGAGACAGCAGTCAGACTATAATCTTAGGAATCATTTAGATCCTCAGGTACAAAGAGGACAGACCAAGCAAACTCTTCAAACTCAATCACTATGCACCATAGGGTTGTGAGTATAGAAGTGAAATGGGGCTGGGTGTGGTGGTGCATGCCTGTAATCCTAGCAACTCAGAAGACTAAGGCAGGAGTTCAAAGTCAGACTTACCAACTTAACAAGAACTTATCTCAAAATAAAAAGAAACAAAAAAGGATTGGCTCAGTAGTTAAGGACCCTTGGGTTCAATCCTCAGTATATCCCCTATCCCAAAAATAAAGAAGTGAAATGGGTGCATCTGTGCACATGTGCACATGTTGGTTAGGATGTGGAAAAAGAGTATAGAGAACATAAACAAGAAGAGCCTGAAATTCCAGTAATAAGTGCAAAAGAAGGCAAAAGGATTACTTAAGCAAAAGATGAACATTATTACATGGAAATAAGTAAAGAAAGCCAAAGTCAAATGACCTGGTATACTTTGAGTCTAGATAACCTCACAAGAAATATTGTGTAAGGCAGCTGAGGTTCTATGAGAGTCCATAAATGATTATAAGCTTAGAGGTCAAGGAAAAGGCAGGGTGATATGGTTCATAATGTTCTACTGATAAGAATAGAATATAAAAACTGAATTAGTAAAAAGATATCATTAGCTACATACCTACCACACTTCATTGTACTTACCAAAATGGATAGATTCCTAGACGAGTTACCATAAAAACAGCACTGAAGATCACAAAAAGAGTGTCACAGAGTCGCTGATACTTGGCATAATTGGCCAGCTTGGCAGCCTGGATAAAGGAAGATAATAATTGAGTTGGGGAGAAAGTCAGTTCTCACATAAAAACAGAAGGAAAGACAGAGAAAAAAAGATGAAGAAAGAGGGGTTGAATTCTTACTTCCAGCAAGAAGTCTGAGGCATCATGTAGACACAGGACCAGAGTTCCTACCCGAACCATATTGTTGATATAAGAGAAGGTGATAAGCCCGATGGTGGCCAAGTGATGTACAAACATGATCAGGAAGTCCTAGCAAGGAATGGAAATAGAAGATGCAGGTAAAGGCAAGGCTGTAGAAATACTATCAACTCTATGCCTTGCATTATTCTCTGAGGATCTTAGCTCACTGCTTAAATGGTCCATTCTGGATAGACTTTACCTTAGGGAGTTGCCTAACATTTTATATCAATATTCCCTATATCAGTGACTGATCAGTCTACATTAATATTGCTTGAAGCACAGAAAAAAGCATGGGTGATGACACTTACGAGTAATTTCCCATGAGGCAGTGGGACATACAAAGCCTTAGATATTCCTAAAATTTTTCTGCTATAATGAAAGACATTTCAAACAAAGGGACTTCAGAAAGGAGAGATCTGTGGAGAGGCAAAGCTAAACATTTCCAAAAAGTTTCAGAGAAATACTTATTACTGAACAAGCCATTTTACTACAAGTATTTCCTGCTTTCAGATTTAAGGCTTTAATTTCCTCTTGGATTCAAACATCAGGGTTATACCTGGAGAAATCTTTTTTATGGGGGGTGGGGTGGGGACCAGGAACTGGACTCAGGGGCACTCGACTACTGAGCCACATCCCCAGCCCTATTTTGTATTTTATTTAGAGACAGGGTCTTACTGAGCTGCTTAGTTCCTCACTTTTGCTGAGGCTGGCTTTGAACTTGTGATCTTCTTGCCTCAGCCTCCCAAGTTGCTGTGATTATAGGCATGTGCCACCACACTTGGCTGAGAAATCTTTAAATACTTAAGTTATCAGACATATCTAACAAACACTTCTTAGCCCAGTGTGGGGGTGGGGGAGTGGGTGGAAGAAGGCAGGTGAATTTGGGTCAGAGAAACAAGAAGGATGAAGATTATGTGTTCTCTACAAAGAATGATGTGCTAGTTCTCCAGCCGAGTAATGTGTTCACAAGTATAATTTATTTTATTTTAAAACATGTATTTTGCTGGGTATGATTACACATGCCTATAATCCCAGTGGCTTGGGAGGCTGAGGCAGGAGGATCACAAGTTCAAGGCTAGCCTCAGCAACTTAGTAAGGATCTAAGCAACTTAGCAAGACCCTGTCTCAAAATGAAAAATAAGAAAGGCTGGGGATGTGGCTCGGTGATAAAGCAACCCATGGGTTCAATCTCTGGTACCATATAGATAACAGATAGACTTTTATTTCAAGTTTCTGTATTAAGATAACATTAACAATCCAGGTTAGTTTCAATCCATTCCCATAAATAGATAGAAACTTGATACTCAATTCCAATGCCTTTCATTTTCTTAGGTCCACTTACTAAAATTTTATTTTAATATATGACACATAAACAATGTGAAGCTGGGCACAGTGGCACATGCTTGTAATCCCAGCCGCTTGGGAGGTTGAGACAGCAGGATTTCAAGTTCAAAGCCAGACTTAGCAAAATTGAGGTGCTAAGCAGCTCAGTGAGATCCTGTCTCTAAATAAAATACAAAATAGGGTGGGGGATGTGGCTCAGTGGTTGGGTATCCCTGAGTTCAATCCCCAATACCAAAAAAAAAAAAAAACCTGAAATACATACAGGTTTAAAAAAATTGTTTTGATAGTTATAGATGGATAGAATGCCTTTATTCTATTTGTTTATTTTTATGTGATGCTAAGGATTAAACCCAGTGCCTCACACATGCTAGGCAAGTGCTCTGCCACTGAGCTACAGCCTCAGCCCAAAATACATGTTTTAAAACAAAACAGACTATACTTGTGAACCCATTCTCAGCTCAAGAACTAGAACATCATTAATACCATTAATCATTATACCATTAATGCCACTGTATCTGTGAGAGGAGCACAGAGTCTTCATCTAAATTTGAAACAGTGTTCCCTAACCCCATCCTGAACCCAGAAGTGCTTTACAATGAATATATCCTTATCCCTTTAAAAAATTTTGTCGAGACAGGGTCTTGCTAAGTTTCTGAGGTCAACTTTGAACTTGTGAATCTTTTTTTTTTTTTTTGGGGGGGCTAACCACAGGGATTAAACCCAGGTGTGCTTAACTACTGAGCCACATTCCTAGCCCCTCCATGCTCCCCCGACTCTTTTTTTGAGAAGGGATCTTGTTATGTTGCTTAGGACCTCACTAAGTTGCTGAGGATGGTCTTGAACTTGTGATGTTCCTTCCTCAGCCTACTAAGCCACTGGGATTATAGGCATGCACACCACACCCAGCATGGCTCTTTATTAAACTTCCTTACAAGTATGTGCCACCATACACAGCTTTCAAATTACTTTTCTGAATCTTTGTTTCCTAAACAATAGCAGGTAAAAGAGTACACAAAATCATGTAAAACCCCTTCCAGTGTTATTCTTTGATTAAGTGCAGTAACCAAAAAAAGAGAATAGAGAGAAAGAGTGTGCAGCAAGTGTCTCTAATGCCACAAAAAAAAAAAAAAAAAGATCCAAAGGAAGCATGGGGGCAGGAAAGATGGTGGAATGAGATGGACATCATTACCCTAGATACACGTATGACTTCACATAGGGTATGATGCTACATCAGGTACAACCATAGAAATGTAAAGTTGTGCTGCAATTGTATAAGATGAATCAAAATGCATTCTGCTGTCATATAAACCTAATTAAAATAAATAAACTAATAATAAAAAAAATTGGGCTGGGGGTATAGCTCAGTGGTTGAGTGCTTGCTTTGCATGTGTGAGGCACTGGGTTCAATCCTCAGCACCAAATAAAAAATAAATAAATAAATAAAACGAATATATTGTGTTCATCTACAATTAAAAAGTATTGAAAACAACAATAACAAAACCATATCCTACATTTTGGGAATTGAGCCTTTTTATGAATCAGGCCTTCATATCTCCAAGTTCTAACTAATTTCTTGAGCTTCAAACATGTAAGAATGTGGGAGAAGAATAAGAGTATGCTCCTAAGTTGGTTAACTGTTCTCATCCTGGACTGCCCTGAATGTCTTCAATATATCTCATCGTCATTGTGCATAATACATCTAATCATTAAGTCTCATTTCTGGGAATATTACAAAGAGCTAATAGTCCCATTACGCCTACTTTCACGTTTTTTTGTGGTACCAGTCAGGGAAGAGAATCTATCACAATAGCAGTAATGGTAGCTGCTAAAAAGGAATTGAGGGAATCAAGTTCTCACCTTTCTTTTGATGTCTATAAACTGAGAAAACATAAGAGACCAATAGAAAGCCAATTCCATGATGTAATAGTAGTAAAGCTCTCTTGTGAGAGGCTGGAATAGAGACAGTAGTAGTTAGAAATCAGCTAGTCAAAGGTACATTCCATCTCTTTGACTTTCTCTATCTTAGAGGATCAATAACCCAAATTACTTGACATTTTTTCTTCTCATTTGAAGAAAGATCTGCAATAATTCAGACTCTGATTCTGTGAAGATCTGAATATCTTCCCTCTGCTCCTCCACATACAAATCTTTAACTGTCATCTTTCAGATATGAGACAAGGTTAACGCATATTGTATAACACAATCAAGTGACTGTCTAGAATTCTGGGCAATTACTGTTTATCACAGAATTAAATATACTCAGATCTTCCCTTCTTCTACCCCTGACATTTTTCTAGTACAGAAAATGTACAGTAAGTGGCTAGATTTTTCTTCTAGAAGAAAAATAGAAATAAACTAGGCTTTGTGCTGTTAATAAGAGCAGGAAGAACTCCTAGATAGCTTTAAGAAATATCACCACATGGAATATGAAAACCAACATGCTTTTAAGGAAATTCCAAATTGCCTGAACCAGAAAGCACACCATTAAGTGCCAGTGAACTGCTTTTCCTTCTGATTCAATTTGGGTAAATATAATGTAGAACCTAGAATAAAGAGCTCATTGGACTTCAGTGCTACAGGGGCCCCCCAATAGACAACCCAAATATATGACTCAAAGGGACTCAGTACCTAATTACTGAAGAAATCAAAGAAACGTGCCACTGGTCCTAGGAATGATAATGCACTCTTACCCACCCTGCCTTACACACATACAAGGCCCATTTGAAAATACTCAGATCCTACCTGATATGGATAACTATGCCAGCACTGTCGGGTGTCCCAGAACCAAGGTGACTAAGAAAAAAGAGATAACCCAGGTTAGTATTCAGGATTCTCACCCATCTTGTTTCAAGATCTACCCTATAATAATCTCTCTCTCTCTTTTTTTTTTTTTTCTGGGCTAGGGGCAAAAGACAAGAAAAAAAGAATCCCTCTTGACAGATTTTAGGAATCCTTAAAGGATCAATAAGTGGCTAGATTTTTCTTCTACAAGAAGCATTATAAATAGAAAAACTAGGCTTTGTGGTGTTAATACGAGCAGGAAGAGCTCCTGGATAGCTTTAAGAAATATCACCACATGGAATATAAGAAACAAGGAGTCAGAAAGATAATGATCCGGGCTGGGGATGTGGCTCAAGTGGTAGCGCGCTTGCCTGGCATGCGTGCGGCCCGGGTTCGATCCTCAGCACCACATACAAACAAAGATGTTGTGCCCGCCGAAAACTATAAATAAATAAATATTAAAAAAAAAAAAAGAAAGATAATGATCCCATTTGATAACTGAGAGAAAGAAAGAGAGAGAGAAATCTACATATTAGATATTAGGCTCAAAAGTCAAAAGTAATAATCTCTAATGAAGTTACAATTACATCTTTTACATCCTTTAATGTAAAGAGTTTGTCCATTTCACTTCTGCAGTTGAAATTATTACCATAAAATTATAATACTGCCTCATTATCCTTTCAATAATGTCTATGCGGGTCTGGGGTTGTGGCTCAGTGGTAGAGCGCTTGCCTAGCATATGTGAAGCACTGGGTTCCATCCTCAGCACTACATAAAAATAAATAAATAAAATAAAGGTATTGTGTCCATCTACAACTAAAAAAAAAAACTGTTTTAAAAAGGTCTATAGGCCTTGTAGTAATAACCCTACTCCATACTGATAATTTCTATTCTCTTTTTTCCCTTAGGAGCTTATCAATTTTATCCATTGTTTGTTTAATAAATATTTCATTCACTTCTTTTGTTTTTCTTTTCTTGTTGTGCCAGGGATCAAACCCAGGGCCTTGTATATTCTAGGCCCTACCTCTAAAATAAATCTCCAGTCTCTACTTTTTATTATCTCCTTCAACTGACTTTTTTTTTTTCTGTAGATCCTAAGTAGAAAATAAGTTCATTGACTTTAAACTTCTTTTCAAATATATACATTTAAAGCCATAAATATCAAAGAATGTATGAGATGCATCCCACAAATTCTGGTATTTTAGTACACTCAGTGTAATTCAATTATGAATATTTTCTTCCTTCTTTTTTTCCTTCCTCCCTCCCTCACTTCTTTCTGTCTTTTAACTGGTGACTAAATTCAGTGTTTTATACATGTTAAGCAAGGGCTCTACTGCTGAGTTACATTCCCAGTCTTTCTTATTTTAAGACAGGGTTTTGCTAAATTGCTTAGGCTGGCCTTGAGCATGTAATCCTCCTTCCTGGCTCAAAATATTGTCTAATTTCCCTTGTGATTCATCACTGGCTCGATAGGTTATTTAGTTGTTTCATGTGTACTTGGAAATTACGTGTATTCTTCAGTTGCTGATGTAGTATTCAATAACTATCAATAAGGTGACTATATATTTTTATATTTCCTCCCTTTAGTTCTGCCATTTTTGCTTCATCTATTTTGAAGATTCATATTATTTGAAGAAAAATATTGTAGTACAAGAAAAAAAAACATGTAACCAGGAGTCAAAAAGCCTGAAATTCCTCCTTGATAATTAATTAGAAAGCAGGAATAATGTCTATCTCATCTGCTTTTTTTTTTTTTTTTTTTTGGAATTGAGGATTGAACTCAGGGGCACTCAACCACTGAGTCACATCTCTAGGCCTATTTTGTATTTTATTTAGAGACAGTGTCTCACAGAGTTGCTTAGTACCTTGCCATTGCTGAGGCTGGCTTTGAACTCACAATCCTCCTGCCTCAGCCTCCCAAGCTGCTGGGATTACTGGCGTGCGCCACCATACCCGGCTTCTCATCAGCTTTAAAGAGTTATTTATTGCCCTTCTTGGAAGAAGAGGATTTTTGTCAGCAGCCTTGTGAATCATTAAATATTATTCTTAGGTTAGGGAAAAGAAACCCCAGGCAGAAGACAATTTATTAGCATATAAACTGGGGCTTTGGGCATCACGGAGAAAAACTAAAGGAAAGATAAATATCTAAAGATATTTAGTTTTTATCTCTAGAGATCTAAGCATGATTAGAACCCAAAGACCAGAGAAAGTTCAGACTCACCGACCAGAGAAATCTAATTCCATAGCAGAATACACACAAATAAAAAGTGAATCTCCACCTGGGAGGGCAAAGAGTAGAGGTTAGACAAATGTCCACTCAAAACAAAGTCTTTGAGGCTACGGAAATCAAAATAACGTATCTGGTGATAAGACAATTACTGGTAAGAAATAGGATATGTTCCCAAAATAGGAACATGTACTTTTTACCTAGAAAGCCAAAGAGAGTCATCTTCTAGTCTTTTGTTTAAAATAGATTTTTCGGGGCTGGGGTTGTGGCTCAGCAGTAGAGCACTTGCCTAGCATGTGCAAGGCCTTGGGTTCAATCCTCAGCACCACATATAAATAAATAAAACAAAAGTATTAAAAAAAATAGATTTTTCACGACTGTAATCAACTTTTCTTCCTTATCTTTTTCCTTCATAAGAGTGCCTGCTTTTTTTCATTGCATGACAGGGGCCAATACACTGTTTCCTTTAGAGAATAATTCGTAAAACACTAGTAAACTGAAGTATAGTATTTTGCAGAAAAGGAATACTTCTCATGAAAATGTCAATCTAGAGCAAACTGGTACCATTTCTATCAAGGTATACGGGGTGTGCATATACCTACCTACATAAGTGCACTTATAAGAATTAACTCCCACTATATTTGGAAAAGGGGAACAAAAAAGAATCACACCTAACTTAATGACAAAAAGTCTAAGAAACTAGGGTGACCAGTTTTCCAATTTTCTTCTTTCCTATTTATAATAGATTAGCCTTCCACATCCATCACTGTTCTGATATAATATAATTTTCCAAAAATGAAAACCTCAGTCATTTATATCCCCACCCTCCTCCTCATTCCCTACCTCCCTCTGCATACCTACATGCTTTCACAGAATTTAGTGAGCGTTGGGGGTTTGTCCTGATTCCTCCGATGGCGAAACCAGCGTTGGATTTTTCGGACATCGCAGTCCAGTTGCTTTGACAGGCCCTCCAGCCTTTTCTCATCAGGATACTGTAGATGTATTATCAGAATCAGAATACTCCTTTCTCCTCAAACCCCTCATTAAATCCCTTTGACCAGCTGAGTAGCACAGGGATGATAACCACAGTGGCTCAAGTGATGGTGTCTTCCTAGGTTTCACCCCAAAATAATATTTAGTAAAACATTCTATCTTACACATCAAGAACCTTTACTGCTCACCCATACATGTCCTTGTTTTGTCTTCTAATTCAGGCTGAGTAAAAGAGGGCATTAAAAACCCAAACTAAAAAGTTGATTAGAACTATTCCTTGCTGGAGCAAGGAAAAAAAGATACAAATGGTGTATCTGTGCTGGGGCTGTAGTTCAGTGGTAAAACACTTGCCTCACAGGTGTGAGGCACTGGGTTCAATCCTCAGCACCACATAAAATTTTAAGAGACTGTGTGTTCATCTATAACTACAAAAAAAAAAAGGTGTATCTAGGGTAAGAGGGGTGGGGGTGACTGCTAGGCCTAAAATGCAAAGATGTGTAACCTGACTTTTTACGGACCATGACTGAAAGGTATTTACCCAAAGGACTGAAAGTTCTCCTTATAGGCATATAAACTATCCAAAAGTGAAAAATCATCCCATCCTATTCTTATCCCCTCTTACATGTTTTCTTTTTGTTTTTTAGTTATAGATGGACACAATACCTTTATTTTATTTATTTATGTGGTGCTGAGGATTAAACCCAGGGCCTCACACATGCTAGGCAAGAGCTCTACCACTGAGCCACAACCGCAGCCCTCTTCCGTGTTTTCTAGATCAATGCTTCATGTGAATTTTCCCGTTTCTTGGCTCACTCACCTTGGTAATAGATATGAACACTTTTTCAAGGATGGCATTGGGTTGAGCCAGATGAAGATCACTGTCCTCAATGCCAACATGGAGTGCACAGGGTTTGGCAATAAACCTGTAATGGAGAAAAATCCAAAGACCGATTCTAAATATGGTTTGATAAGCATGAAGGGAAAAAGCTGATTAGTAGATAAGTGGGAGGAAAATGGGGAAACACATAAGGCTGGGAGCCAGAATATTTTTATTTAGTCTTAGATTCTGCCATTGACTCACTTGAAAAGAGAACTATTTAAGAAATGCTGGAAAATAAAGCTCTCTTTTTCATTTTTTCTCTGGCTTCTCTTATCACATCTCAAGCTTTAGAGTCAGACATATCTGGGCCAAATCACTACCACTTATTGGATATATAAATGTGGGAAAGTTATTTAATCTCTGCAAGCCTCAATTTTTTTCCCTATAATATCAACATCCTTGCTACTCGATACACGGTCCACAGATCAACAACCATTATCGGCATTTTCTTGGAAGCTTTTTAAAAATGCATACTGCTATCCCAGACTTGGCATTTTAACAAGACTCCCAAAAGATTCATATGCCTGTTAAAATGTGAGAAGCTGGTCTATTTCACAAGAATCTTAAAAGTATTCAATGAGATAATATATATGAGCAACCTGGTCCAAGGGAAGTGCTTAATAAATTGTAATTTTCCTTAGATCACTGGGGTGAAGCTCAGTGGTTAAGCATGTGCTCCATACATTGAGGCCTAACATGGGCTGGTGGAAGTTTTCTTGGTGTTGTTTTATTGTTGCTGTTATCATTTTATTTTTTGGTGCTGGGGACTGAATCCAGAGTCTCACATATACTAAGTATGTTATGTCCCAGCAAAGATCCTAGTTCTGTTGGAAAAATGAAGTGAGACCGAGTTGTTCCTAAGATATCTTGATCATCTTCCAGCCTAATCAAAAGATTACGGAAATACTTATAACATTCAGGAGTCTGAAAAAAGAAATCAGGAAGCTAAGAAGGGTGAGAAAAAAATTACCCCTTAATATTTGATTCTAGTCCCATATCTGCCACTAATCAGTCATATAAATGGGGTTATGCCATTTAATCTATGGGATCTAAACCAGGTGCTGTAATCCCAACTACTTGGGAGGCTGTAGATAGGTCAAAAGTTCTAAGTCATCCTGGGTAACTTAGCAGGACCCCGTTTCTCAAAATTTTACAAAAAGGCTGGGGATGCACCTCAGAAATAGAAAGCCCCTGGGTTCAATCCCCAGTAACATAAAACACAAAACAAAACAAAATACTTCTTGGGTCTGTTTCATCATCAGAAAGAAGGGTTAACAGACGATTTCTAAGATTTTTTTTCTCTGCATCTAAGATTCTATGATGTTATCATTTGGTTACAATTAATTTCTAAATTTGAGATCTTTGAAAATTGAGGAACTATTTCTTGGTTCTTCAGGAAAGGTGTATAAACTCTCAGAAAAGCTCTACTTAAAAAAGAGAGAGGGAGAGAGAGAAAGAAAAGCTCTATATAGTCACTTTGAGTATATATCAAAACCAGTTTTACATGGAGACTATAAAAGCAGAGATACTGATAACCCCAATTGAATAAATGAGTAAATGTGGATGCTATAGATAAAACAAAAGTTTTAGCCCTCTTAGTATTTTAGGGAATTCCATGATGAAAATATGACTGGGAGGGCTGGGATTGTGGCTCAGTGGTAAAGCACTTGCCTAATATATGTGAGGCACTGGGTTAGAGTCTCAGCATCACATATAAATAAATGAATAAAATAAAGGTCCATTAACATCCCAAAAGAAATTTAAAAAGAAAATATGACTGGGGTGTCCTTGACCTGTTTTATTTTTTGAACTGCATTTGAAACCAGAATTTATTATCTTAAAGGGAGGGATTAAGGATAAGGAACTTTATTATCTGCCTTTTATCACCAAAGTTCCTAAGCCTTAGGGAAACATTTATTTAGAGTACAAAATTAGTCACATCTGTAACCAATTCTCTGTTTCACAGGTGGCAAAAAAATTTCAGAGGCCAAAGCCCGTAGTCCCTTATTTTATATTTGCTGATGTATACTATTTTGTGCACTAGTTATATTTTTTAATCCCCCACTTATGTTTAAACTCCTTGTTCATGGCTGGGGATGTGGCTCAAGCGGTAGCGAGTTCGCCTGGCATGCGTGCGGCCCGGGTTTGATCCTCAGCACCACATACCAACAAAGATGTTGTGTCCGCCGAGAACTAAAATAAATAAATATTAAAAATTTTCTCTCTCTCTCTCTCCCCTCTCTCACTCTCTCTTTAAAAAAAAAAAAGAAAAGAAAAAAAAAGTGAATTTAGGGAAGAGAAGGCCAGAGGTTGAAGTTGTATCAAAAAGGGCAGAGATCATTTAAGGCAAGGATTTCAGTATCCAGTAGATTTGGTAATTTGTAGATACGTAGAAAAAGCCAAGATTCTCAAAAATTTGGGGTAGGAAGGGAGGAGACTGCCTTCAACTTCCTGCAACAGAACCACTAGATCTAAAGCTAATCACATCAAAAATGAAATCTCTCTGGGCCTTGAAGCTATTCTCTCCCACCTACCCCCTTTTTTTTGGTGGTGCTGGGGGTTGAACCCAGGACCTTGTACATGTGAGGCAAGCACTCTACTAACTGAGCTATATCATCAGCCCTCTTCCATCCCATTTTATATATATATATATATATATATATATATATATATATATATATATAGAGAGAGAGAGAGAGAGAGAGAGAGAGAGAGAGAGTGTTAGTTGTAGATGGACAGCATGCCTTTTAGTTTTTTTATGTGGTGCTAAGGATTGAATCCAGTGCCTCACACAAGCTAGGCAAGAGCTCTGCCACTGATCTACAGTCCCAGCCTCGCCCCATATTTTTTAATTGATGCTTTATAATTGTATACAACAGTGAGATTCATTGTTATATATTAGTACATACACATGGTATAACAATATAATTTGGCCAATATAATTTTTCCTTTCGCTTCCTTCCTCCATCCCTTTCCTCTACTCTATTGATCTATTTTTAATTTTCATGAGATTCCCCACCATTCTTTTCATTTTTCCTCTTCAGCTTTCACAGGAGAGAAATACTGTATTCTTCTTTCTTCTTCTTTTTTGCACTGAGGAAGCTGTCCTTGAACTTGAGTTCCTCCTTCCTCAGCCTTCTAAGTAGCTAGGATTACAGGAATGCACCACTGCACCCAGCTCCTCCTCTTCTTGATCAGAAATTTCATTTTCTTTCTTTCTTTTTTTTCTGTTATCTTCTCATCAGATTTTAAACACATTCAAGTTTTTCCCAGAGCCTAGCACCCTCTGGCTTTCTCACTGCATAACTAAAGTTCCTGAAAAAGTTCTTTCCTCATGATTTCTCGTCCAACTCCCACTCATTCCTCAACTCTCTGACCTCCCTACTTATGTCCCTACACTTAACTGAAGTGACTCTTGCCAAATTCATCAATGATCTACTTATTGTGAAACCAAATGAATGTCTTATATCTTGACTTCTCAGCAGCATTTTACATTACTGACCATGCCCTCCCTCTTGAAAGGCTTTTTTTCTTTTGGTTTCCTTACTGCTGTTCTTTCCCTAGTTTTCTCTACCTCTTAGGTAGAACTACACTGTCTGGTACATATACACTGTTAATTAAATCACCTAAGACATGTTACTTTCTCTGAACTTCACTTTTCTGTAAAATGAGAATAACGATAGTAAAAACCTACCTCACTTAATTATTATAATTCAACGTTTAGAACTTAAAGAACAGTACCTAGGACAAAGCAAACACTTATTAAATGCTAAGTACTAGTATTATCAAATACTATATGGTTGTCTTACTTCTATCTCCATTTGGGTTTATTTTTCCTCTGCCTTTTCCTAAAGTATGATGATTCCTTAGCATTCTTTCCAGGTACTCTACACACTCACCCTTGGCAATCTCATTCAATTAAATCAGAGGACCTCAAAGCATAGTTTGCAGATCTCAGAGGTTCCCTGAACATACAAAACTTTATAATAATATGAAGACATTATTTGTCTTTTTAACTGTGATGACATTTGCAATGATGATGCAAAGTAAGGATAGATAAAACTTACAGCACCTTAACTCACATCAAGGCAGTGGCACCAAACTGCACTAGTAGTTATTGTACTGCTATGTCCTTTCAATTTAAAAAATGCCTGGGGCTGGATGTGTAACTCAGTGGTAAAGCATACGCTTAGCATGCATGAGGCTCTGGGTTTAGTACCTATACACACACACACACACACACACACACACACACAAAGCCTTTTTGTATAAAATGTCCTTGATGAAACAATACAAATTTTTAACTATATGATATCTTGACCCTTGAGTATATTTTTTAAAAGTATTCTGTGATAAAATGGAATGATACTCAAAGTACTTCTGTATACCAAAATTTGTGGTTGTCTCAAGGAAATGTATTTGTTCCCAGCAGCTCAGGAGGCTGAGGCAAGACAGCAAGTTTGAGGCCACCCTCAGTAGCTTAGCAAGGCTCTAAACAATTTAGCAAAACCCTGTCTCAGAATAAAATATTAAAAGGGCTAGGGATGTATTTCAGTGGTAAAATGCCCCTGGGGGTCAGTTTCCAGAAAATAAAAAAAGAAAGGCACTTCTATGACTGATTTGCTGAGTTGTGAGCTATGACTGAGTTGTGAGCTGAACGAAATCCTTTTTATACACCACTATTTTTACCTAAAAAAATGACTGACAGAAAAACTAATGTCATTAGCATATGTTTTCTGGAAAAGAAATATGAGTCTGTCACTTCAAGAAAAACATTGTTACCAATGATAAAATTCAAGCTCTCAAGTGAAAATTAGAATTTTAGAAAACTTACTATCTGCCTCTGAAGTGACAACTTCCTAAAACTTCAAAACTTTACTGATGAGATTGGTTATAAAATTAATTTGATCTTTCAATATTGTATAATGAAATGTTTTAACATGTAGGAGATTTGTATAGCTCCGTGAATCAGTAATCATTATTTTCTTTCTCTTTTTTGGGTACCGGAGTTTGAACTTGGGGGTACTCAACCACTGAACCACA